TTAAGTGTTAACTTTTTACCAAAAGCCTGCAGTGAAACATCAAATTATTACTGCCCTGCAGCTTCCTCGGGAGATAGCAATTATTTGGAATTAAATCCCATTCACTGTTCAGCCAGCAGCAAGAACAAGGTGAGGTCTGACAAGCTGTCAGCTGGCAAAAGGAAATGAAAAGTGCAGTCTAAATCTTCCATCTTTCATTTTCATTAACCTTGAAGAATTCTGACTTTTAACAAGCTAGTTCCCTTCTGCTCTGCTGCTTTTTAACTCCATATTTACTTTCACAAACGTGTTTTAACATACCTTGACCTTTTGTCCTGTTTCTACCGTCCCGTGGCTTTCCAGACGATATGCAGCAATATGCATATTGTGCAGAATACATGTATTCAATGAGATCTTTATATCTTTATGTTTCTTGATCTACAAACAATTAAATTACTTCTCTGAAAGACCTTTAAATGTTATTTTTTACTAATCTAAAGAAACTGAATGGTCAGTGTTAATTCCACAAAACCAGTGGGGGAAAGTAAGTACATTTACTTAAGCACTGTACTTAAGTACACAGTGCTTTTTATTCTTTATAGTTCTACTCTATTACATTTTTGGAAATGTACAAATTGTAATCCATATTTGTTTTACATATGTATTTACTAGTGACTTTATACATTTAGATTTTGACACACAACATTTAGGAAAAATGTTTAAAATATGAATTTGCTATGGATTAAACTATGAAAATGAATTGGCCTGTACTTCAGGGACAGACAAAGACAAAGAAAATGCTGCAGAACATAAAATAATATACATTTAACAAGTCAACCAACATTAAGGGGTCAGGGCAGTCAAAAGTACGGTAATACCATAAACTGCTACCATAAACTGCTACCTCTGCCCTTTTAAAATCTTATACAATGCTATACCTTGTGCCTTATTATCTGTAACAAGACCAGATTTAAGTCTTTCCCATCACCATGCCAAGCTGTAAAGCCTGCAATTTAAAGCGAGGTAAGAAAAATAGTGTTATCACTTGATCATAAACCTCAGGGAACAGCTGGTGGAGGATTGGCCATAAAACAGGAATATATTCCTCACAGGAGGGGCATCTGTCCCATTAGTTGGATGGAGCCCACACAATTTTACTTTTGGCATGAATTCACTGAGCAAGTAGCATTTTGTATTCCTAGAAAATGTGTTTGTTCTCCACAGAGTCTCCAGCCGCTATGTACTGAGCTTTACCTCCCAGGCTGCTTTGCAAAGACTACAAGACACAGCAGAATAATTGGAAAATATGGAAACAAACCGTGACAAGAAAAGCCTGGAGCCTGTTGTTCCACCAGAGTATAAAATCTGCTCTAATATGGGGTCTGTGTGAACACGACTGGAGTATGTTCTATTCCACTTTACATTTTGTTTGTACGTTTTCCTTCTGTGTGCACAGTACCTGACAGTATGAAGAATATTCCGGAAACAAAGGCGAGGATGGTGCGCTGAGGCCGGATGTGTCCGATGTTGCTGATGATGAAGGCGGTGAAGACGAAGAGCAAGGAGACCATAGGGAAAGGAGTGGCAGTCCGGACCATTTCTGGAAGATTGTGAGAGAGGACATGAGAAGGATGAAGAAGATTAAAAAAGAAGACCTTTCACACATATGCATTGTTAAAGAATAAAGCCCTGAATTCACTTAATAAAGAATGATAAAATACTGCTGAAAAAATCTCATTAACATTTGAAGTCAGGCCGTTGTTTGAACAATTTATTTAAAAGAATCCCCTCCTTCAAAGAGTCAACGTTGTTGCTTTAAGTCTAGAAGCAGCAGGCATTCAAAACTTGAAACCTTGAAAATGTTAACAGTGAATCATAAATAACGATAAAGAATGTCATTAACTCAATTTCTATTGTGAGTCTTGTTCATCCATGTGGATTAAAGCCAGTCAACCAAGTACCGTAAAGGAAACCTTTTTTTTCATTATTATTTATTTTTATTTTCTGCATATACATGAATGTGTTTATTTTCAGTTTGTGGTAGAATAGTTTGGTATATACAACAGGAAGTCCACATTTGTGAATTTCAACCTATTTAGTAACCTTGAACACAAACCTCCTTGTTATTGCACATATTAGATGGTTTGATTGTCTTTTAGCTCCAATTTGGTGTCCACCTATTCCTGAGCAGAATGTCCGGTTGCTAAATGTTCCACTATGTTAATTACCAAGTCGCTAATTCTAGAGAGACCATGAAAATGGGTAAAAAACTGTGGCGTTACCTGCTTTAAAAACAAAAAGAAAGACCCTGAAACACTTGCTAGAGATAAGTGGGGTAATCACAACGTTTTCACATCACACATTGTGTTGGGTAACACTAACATCAAATCATATCTAGTAGTAAGGGAAATATATGAAAATCTGCAAACTAAATCCTTACCAATCAATTTCTTCACTAATGTGTTTGTAAAGGCGTGTAGTAAGATGTATTAAAAAGTTGAAGTTCAAATCCTGTATGTTTTTTCGTAACAACTGCTCAAATTTGAGGTACCGAATACCGATTTTCGAAAAATCTAAAATTTTCTGTTTGGCCTTGGGTAACTTGTGAGGGGTCAAACTAGGGTTTTTCATGATTCTGAGTTGATTGCAATCATGTATTTTTCACTAAAATCATTCCTTGATTGAAAAAAGGCCACGCCCACTCTTATATTTAAATTCAAAAGTAGCTTTATTTGTAGTTACAAGTAGTTACAAGTGCTGATCACTTCAGGAGTTAATCTCTGAGTCTTCTCCAGACTCACCACCATCATGACCACAATTCTTGCATGAAATTCCTTTACAGACTCCACATGCTGAGATGCACTTAACGCCATTCCTCTTGCAGCTGCACCGCCGGATGCTGCAATCTCCGTTACAGTTGCAGCTTGTGAACTGCAGTAGCTCCTCAGGAGGCATAGGGTCTAGTGTTGGGACTGGCTCATAGCCATGTACACCTAATGTCCATCCATAGTCACTGGGGTTCAGAGACATACTCTGCAGAAGGATCCAGTCCTGGGTTTGTAGGTAGGCACGGAGAGAATGCTGTGCAGCTGCACCCTCTGTTGGAGGTAGAGTTTCTGGTTTGATCAGCCCTGCCGCTGCCTTCCGTGAGAATTTTTTTTGTCGAATTTCACCCAAAGCAGTACCTGGTTCATGGTAAATGTACTGGAAGATGGTAGTACCAGCCTGTATCACTGCATCCTTAGTAGCTTGTGTGTCAAGGAAGATGTNTCATTGGGAACTCGGTATGAGATAGAGCACACTGTTGAGATGTCCAATCTGCCTGTTTTACACACTTTGACCAACAGGGGGGTTTGTGTTCAGCTTCATTTGAACACAAACCCCCCTGTTGGTCAAAGTGTGTAAAACAGGCAGATTGGACATCTCAACAGTGTGCTCTATCTCATACCGAGTTCCCAATGAGTAAAGCCTTAGAATAACTCTAAACAACCAACATTAAATCATATTTTCATGTTAAACATGTATTTATTTACTCCAGTTTAATGATTGTGATTGAAAAGCGTAAAGAGGCTGGTAAACTTTACAAAGAGGGATTTGTATTCCTTAATAATATTCATAAACTTAACCATGTTGTAGCCTGAGAAAGGCTAAACCATATCAAAGAATACATTTATTAACTACATTATCTCATTTAGCTGTAGCTTTTAAAAACAACCAAAAGACTTATTGACCAGTCGTTGAACCAGGGACCCTGCGGTTGTGAGTCGACTGCTTTCTAGCTGAGCCACAGCACACACACTGAATCCATCTGAAAACACTGAATCGTATTTATTCATGTTTTTATTCCTACATTTATTTATGCTTTCATTTAGTTATACTTATGACATGTTCCGACCTCTATATAAGTGAGGGTCTGAGCTCTCTTACTGTAATTCCATCGTGTCACCGGGCCCGGGTATAGGAGGGGTAATATCGTTCTTATTATACATCCATGGGTAATATGCATGGATGTATAATAACAAGTTTTTTCCTCCTTGTGAGCGCCTTTTGTCATTTCCAGTACCTACTCTGTTAAGAGGGATTACCTAATCTGTGAAATTAAACTTACGTTTTTTTTACATTCAAGACTCTGTCTCTGGGTCGTGCATTTGGGTTCATCAGTTTGTGTCGAGATCCTGACAAACACCGTCTCTCATGAGCTCTTAAGATTCAGTAAGTGCAGATAGAGTATATGTAAGGTGAATAGAAGATATGGTTATTCCATGTATTAGTCAGGTGGTTGATTGATATGACAGTTAGTCACCTGCCAGGGGATCGTCAGGTGAATCCCAGTGGCAATCGGCAACATCTGGGTCTGAAGCAAGCCAACGTCGGAAGAGACTTGAACCTACATTATTTTTAATGGTCAGCAGGAGGCGATTCTCATGGTTGCAAAAAGAAGTCGGATTGTGTCAACAAGAAAATGACCCTACTTCTAACCTGATTTATTCACCTCAGTAAACATTTTGCTGTTGATCTTATAATCTCCATCACTTGTTTTAATTATTCTTCAGTAGAGCATGATGTTCATTTTGTAAATCATAGTCATATACTGTAAAGAGGACAAATAGACAATAAAGCGATAATGCTTTAGGGCTTCTCTACCTTATTGCTGACCGGTCACTAACACAGGGTTGTCCTGTCTGGTTGCTCTCTGTCTTTAATGCTTTTCATTTTGCTCATCTTGTATTTGCACCTAACTGTTACATTTCGGTGGCCTAAAATGGTTTTGTTCAGTTGTACTTTGTTCCTACCTCCCGTATCACTGCTGGTTCAGACAACCAATATTATTCCAAAGCGAGGTTTCAGAGCTATTGTCCACAAACCAATGTGTGATGTCACAGTGTATTTGATACAGTCTATCGTCAGTAAAATCAGCACCATGTAAGCGCTTGTGTTAAAGCCTTTTACAAGAGATTATAGTTTCATCCTCAAATGGGTTGGTGCGGTATCTGTAAACTCTGTATTTGTAGTAATAACAGTATCAATAATGAATGTGTGTGTGCAGGTCTCAGTCTGGTGGTTGGCCTGGTGTTATATATCTCAAGTATTAATGACGAGGTGATGAACCGACCCAGAGAGCCGGAGCAGTTCTTCCACTACCGCTACGGCTGGTCCTTCGCCTTCGCTGCCTCCTCCTTCCTGCTGAAAGAGGTAATCAGATAACCACACACACTCAAACACACACACACACTCAGATGTTCAAGTAAACACTCAATGAGCAGTTCACGGTGACACTAATATATACTGATGCTTCACATTCACTGACGCTATGTAACTGACAAAAGAGATCATATGCACGCACACAGACACACACGCAGATTGTTTGGAATTCAGCGTGGATGTGGACCAACCACTGCTTAGCAACACAGACTCAAGCATGTGCACAAACACAGACTTACAAATTGCTTGTAGCTTGCTGTGATGCAGATTATTTGACACACACACACATACACACACACACACACACACACACACACACACACACACATACACACACACACACTTGTGTGCCTGCGTAGGAGCCCATCGCCCTGCCTGCATCAATATTCATAAATGTTAATAGCTTGAATACTTGAGGGCAGCAGCTCTGTCGAGCACAGCTCCATTATGCATCAGAATATTCCTCGCTGGGGGG